GCGGGACTTGGTCAGAAAATTAGAAAACTAAAACCAAAAAATTAACTTTGTGATTTTTTCTTTTACTATATAAATAATCTGAACTGATTTTTAAGTTTTTAATATATGAATGTACATAAGCCTACAATGGCAATTAAATACAAATAAGCTAAATAAATTATTAAAAACTAGTTCTTTTCCTAATATTTTCATGAAATAATTGTTTTCTAAATATGGAACAATTTTTGTATAAATGCAATTATCATGCAGTTATACAATGTTAGTATAAATGCAATTGTTGTGCATATTTAAATGCACAGAACAGATAAGTGCACCAAAACTTGCTAGAAAAACAATGTGCATTTATCCGTAGTTTGCTGTACAGTCAAACATAATTAGAATGTTTATCAAATAAAAAAGTGTTCACTAAAGTGGATCTAAAAAATGGTTTCCATCACGTTTTTATGAGTGATGATTCCATTAAATGTACATCGTTCATAACGCCTCTAGGACAATTTGAGTTCGTACGTATGCCTTTTGGGTTGAAAAATGCCCCATCAGTTTCCAAATGTTTTAAACAGTTTTTTCAAAGACCTAATGAGAACGGGAGACGTAATAATATATTTGGATGATATGATTGCGACGTTTGACTTCCAACAATATTTAGAAATATTAAGAAAAGTTATGTTGAGATTGGTACAAAACAAATTAGAGCTTCGTTTAGAATAAAGCGAGTTAATGCAAAGCAAAATTAAGCACTTAGGTTATACGATTGATCATTTAGAAATCCGTGCTGATGACAAAGACTAAGAGGCAATACAAAATTTTCCTGTTCCACAAAAAGTAAGGTCCGTACAAAGTTTTCTTGGTCTTTGTCCCTACTTTAGACGTTTTATCAAAGGATTTTCAATTCTCGTTTAACCATCCGATATTACAGCCGACCACGATATATTGTTTCTGACAGAGCGTCTTGTTTTACTTCTAATGACTTCAAGACGTTTCTAGAAGACAATAACATCCAATACATTAAAATAACAACCTTCTCCCCACAAGCAAACAGTCAAGTAGAACGGGTTAACACAAGTTTAAGTTCAATGATTGCTAAACTCGTAGACAAAGAAACTAATATTACGTGGGTAAACACATTAGAAACAGTAGAGTTTGCGTTAAATAATTCCTGCCACAGAATTATTAACGAACATCCAATCGTAATGTTATTTGGTGTAAATCAAAAAGGGAAAATTCCAGATCAAATAAGAGAAAATATTATAAACGATAGAGATTTGAACTTAATAAGACAACATGCAAACAACTTGCCACACAACAATTCAAAAAAAATTATACAGACCCAAAAAGAAAACAACCAATAATGTAGAGAAGAGGTGATTATGTCGTGATAAAAAAATATTGACCCTACCATAAGGACGTCTAAAAAATTTATGCCAAGTTTCGAAGGCGCTTTTGTAATAACAGAAGTGTTAGTGAATGATCGGTATATTTTAGAAGATGTAGAAGGTTTTCAACAGAGTAGAATACCCTACAAAGGTGTTTGGCCGGCACACAACATTGGCATAAAGACCACACTAATGTAGACCAAAATGATTCGCAAAATTCACAACAAACTGAGTTAGCCTCAAGCCCCGATTTAGATACTAATTCAGATCCACAAATTAACGAAAATGTTCCAGAAGGCAATCGTGTCGGAAATAATCAGGAAGTGTTTGTAGTCAGGAGGGCGGAAATTTAGTATGTAAATAGTTGTAAGATAGTTTAATAAGATATACTTAAGTAGATCTAGTCATAAAATAACAAAAACCTGAATTGTTATAACTCTCTCTTTCTTGAGTATAAATCAAGATATTAAAGCCTCAAAATAACATAGGTGAAGATGAACGGCTATGTTTCTTTGGCTTACGTGTAGCTAATCACCACAAAGCAAGAGTGACAACGAGGCAAAAGTTTGACTTGAACTAACGAACTCACCGTACTAGTATTAATGAGGAAGAAAGTATTAATTAAATTAAGATATTAAAAAAAAAAAAATATATATATATATACATATATATATATATATATATATATATATATATATATATATATATATATATATATATATATATATATATATATATATATATATATAATAACTATTGCTCCATCTCCATTTCTTCTCCGTGTTACAATCTAATGCCAATACCACATGACCACTGTGCGGTGTAAATAAATATAAAGATTTTTAAAGGATTCCTCTGATAAATGTGTCTACAATCATCAGAATGCCTTGATAAATCAAAGTGAAGGCAAAATATAAAAAAAATTGGAAACCGCTGCCATACAACTATTAGGGAAAATATTAACATCGAATCATGAAAAAAATTCCCATTGCGAATACCAAATTTGAAAGAATTTAATTGAAAACCACTAAAGAAAGGTCAAAAGGACGAAGCTTTTATGCTTTTTTCACTAGCTTAAGACTTGACTACTTCTAATTTGTGTACATATTCCTTATACAGACCCCTATAGTCTGTAGTCAGGATGTCCGAACTGCTTACAGTTAGCACGGTAGAGTTTATTTTCCTCCCGTGACATAAAAGTACAATTACTTGGAGCGTGGGGTTTATCGCAACTTTCTGATATGTGTCCCAACTTCTAACTCCACCAAAACTGGTCAGGCTTTCTGGTCATTGAAAATTGCCAATATATTTGTTGTCCGCAGATATATCTCTCAGACGTAAGTTCAGCCATTATTCTTCCGGTTAGGAGTACGACCAGAAACAGCTTTATATCCCCGTTAGTTTTTCTTCTAAATTCAGTTGAAATCTTATAACATTATCTATTGCAGTGGGAACCATAACATCAATATTTTTTCAGAAATGGTTGTTTTATAAAGAAGAACCCTAAACACTAACCTGGTGTGTATTAGTACTTTAGGGGTATAAGAAGGGACTCCTTATAAATTGAATAGCATCATCAGTTCAGATTGAACAGAAAAATCATTCAGTCAATTAACATTTCCTTTAATTTGTTTAAAATTTTGTTACGATCGTGCAATAAATGCGACCTGTTCTTTGTTCACAAAAATACAAATCCAGCTTCAATAGGATGTTAGGATTAAACAAATAATTTATGCCTATTTTCATTTCGATCTGGCAATGAATGCGACCTTTACTTTATTCACAAAAATACATGGACAGACACACGAATGGACGGACATCTACAAATCAAATCACAAAGTTATTCTATGAGCATCCTCAAAAGTGACTATTGATCTATCTCCATTTCTTCTCGTTGATGCATCTACCTATATTCTTCTACCATTATAGCGAAATAACAACAGAGAAGCATACCGACGGAAATCGCTAAATCATATCATAACTTAACGCTAATCAAGAATATGAACACTTTTTTGGGATTGGATTATATTAAAATTAAATTATGGATATTAACTATGGGGTCTATTTCTATTTTTGCCTCTGAAATCGGTTGGATAAAAATTTCAAAATACCATAAAGTATTCTGATTCAGTGGTTTTTGTCTACTGTTTAAAATTCCAAATTTATTTGGTTATTATTTTGATTACCAAATTAGAAATTATTCTTTTAAAAAATGTGACTTAAATAGCCAAATTACCAAATATTCGCAACGGTTAATGAGTGGTATACGAAATAATAAGGCTATTCGAAAACTCTTTTCCCACAGAAGACATAATCCATTACAATCTTTACGTATCAATTTTTAAACGATTTTCCTAAAAAAATGTAGCAACAATTGTCAGAATACCGGATATCGGGAAGTACTGATATATAGGACTATAGCAAAATGTGAACCTGTTAAGGCAATGAACTACTACAGAAAGTAGATCCCATTACGAAACCTACGTTCCGTATTTCAATCAATTCGGTTTGAACATTTTACTTAAATCGCCAAAATACCGAATATATATGTCAAAGCTTCGTCACTGAAGCTAGAACCCGTTACAAACTCTAAATAACTTAACGCTAATCAAGAATATGAACACTTTTTTGGGATTGGATTATATTAAAATTAAATTATGGGTATTAACTATGGGGTCTATTTCTATTTTTGCCTCTGAAATCGGTTGGATAAAAATTTCAAAATACCATAAAGTATTCTGATTCAGTGGTTTTTGTCTACTGTTTAAAATTCCAAATTTATTTGGTTATTATTTTGATTACCAAATTAGAAATTATTCTTTTAAAAAATGTGGCTTAAATAGCCAAATTACCAAATATTCGCAACGGTGGTATACGAAATAATAAGGCTATTCGAAAACTCTTTTCCCACAGAAGACATAATCCATTACAATCTCTACGTATCAATTTTTAAACGATTTTCCTAAAAAAATGTAGCAACAATTGTCAGAATACCGGACATCGGGAAGTACTGATATATAGGACTATAGCAAAATGTGAACCTGTTAAGGCAATGAACTACTACAGAAAGTAGATCCCATTACGAAACCTACGTTCCGTATTTCAATCAATTCGGTTTGAACATTTTACTTAAATCGCCAAAATACCGAGTAGATATGTCAAAGCTTCGTCACTGAAGCTAGAACCCGTTACAAACTCTAAATGTCGAATTTAAAATAATTCCGTTGGAAAATGTGGTTGAAATCAACATTTTACGCTGATCGAGGATATGTATATTTTTAGAGTCTAATTGAGGATATATATTTTTTAAGGTTAAGGACTTACAAACGTACAAAAGGCAAAAGTAATATACCCCCATAATATCGTATGGTATATACCCATACAATCGTGGATGTTATTAAAATGTATACAATTTAAATTGCTTTCAAGTACATTAACAATTACCAATTTTCGTGACTACAATATATTCTAAATGATACTCGCGTATTACTCGCCGTACTGTTCCATTTTATTACGTAATTAAATCCAAAAGATAAGAAATCAAATTTTCTTGTTAAGGAAAACTATCAATATATACCTATTCCCTTAACGTAACATTTGTAACGATATATTAATGATCATACTTACTTTAAAACGGAACGCTGCAAGTTTAAAAATAAACTCAAGTGAAAATACAGCAGTAAAAATCATATTTAATGCGTCAAGTATTTCTGAATAGTATTCTGGTTGCTTGTAAAACTTCATTGCAAGTGTTACTGTGTTTATCATAATTAAAACAAATATTGAATACTCAAATGACGAAGAAGTCACAAACCACCATACTTTATATTGTATGCTATGTTTTGGAATATAGCGACGTACTGGTTTCGCTTTTAAAGCAAATTCTATGCAGTTTCTCTGGTTTTTATCTAGTTCGCAGTTTTTATATTCTTGTTCGCCTTCATTTTGGAATGTCACAATAACAAAGCCAACAAAAATGTTCACCATAAAAAAAGCTATTATTATAATATAAATGATGTAATATGCTGCAACAATTGGGCGAAAATTGTATATGGGACCTCCGTTTTCTTTATTTGAGTCTATTGAGACATACAATAACCTTCAAATAAAGAAAATATTGTAAATAAACTGCAAAAAGCTTTTTGATTTTATGTTGGTATTCAATAATTATATTTTTTGTCGCACAAAGTATCGAAATAATCTTATTTTGATCAAAAGTCTGTAACTTTGAAGGACGACAATTTTTTAGAAATGCAGCATCGCAAACTTTCCTTCGTATTAAGCAATACATAATGTTAAATCATATTTACTGAGGAATCAGATGTCAAACTCAATTTTTAGTGTACACTATACTGTGTCTATGTCTTCGAGCAGTTATTTGTAAAAGCAAAAGTTGACAGGATGGAGCCATAGCTCCCTTTCATGATATGCGTATATTTTTAATTAAATTTTAACATGTCCTTCTTTTTTGTGCACAAAACTACATGTTGTATTTATTGTCCATTGGGATGGAACACTTCTGTTCATTAATGTAAAGGGAAGAGGATGTACACAACACTTGAATTATGTTATTTTGATAGGCTTACAATTTCATGCAATCTACCAAGAATATTTATTTTTGCAAGCTATCTATACACCTTGAATATAATTAACAAGTAAAATAGCTGTAAGTTCGGCCCGCCGAACATCAAATACCAAATTTGAAACAATTCCGGTTAATAAATTCGCTAAAATCATCATCTTCGTATTTTTAGCGACATTTTTCACCACAATTGTTTCAAGTTTTGTATTTGAAGTTCGTAATGGGTACTTCAGCCTAAGACAAAAAATTGTCTATGTAGGTTAACGTCTTTGTACAGCCTTCACATATTCGGTATTTTTATGATTTTAGCGGCATTATTTACCGGAATTATTTCAAATTTGGTATTTAAAGTTCGTAATGAGTACTACAGCCTATTACAGAAAATTGTACCTTCTTATATTTGGTAATTTGATGATTTTAGCGACATTATTCGTCGGAATTATTATAAATAAATTTGGTATTTGAAGTTCGTAATGGATTATGCAGCATAAGGCAGAGAATTGTCTATGCAGGCCCACGTCTTCTTGTAGCCCCCATATATTTCTACCTCCCTATATTTGTTATTTTGATGATTTTAGCAACGTCATTCGCCAATTTTTTTTATTTAAGTTTCGCATTTGAATATTGTAATGGTTTATGACAAAAGAAGCCTATGCTGGTCCACGTCGTCGTTTAGACCCTAATATAATGGCTACATTCGATATTTTTAAGATTTTAACAGAATTTTTAACGGATTTTATTTTTTTGAAATTTGCCAAAATCGTTCCAAATTGTGGAGGTTATTCAAAGCCTGGCCGAACTTACAGGTTTTTTTACTTGTTAGAAAATGTGTAGTGCAGAAACTTGATTGGCTTCTCCAATTCCAACACAAAGAGGTAGATAGCTGTAGGTATGATGGTGATTGACTGTCGATTTTATTAGTTTTTTAGCTGCTACTTTAAGGTAACGAGCTCAGCAGCGTGAGCAAGCCAAGCTTACTGGGTGAGATTATGGAATCCAGTGGATTAAGTCTCAGATATGATGTGTCCATTATTGTTTTATTTTCATAATGACCGTATATTGTAAAGATGTTGTCCACAATCTGGCCTAATCTTTAATGTTCCAGCTTCTTGCACCTCTAGGTGTGTTATTTTCGTACCACAAACCAAGGATAACTCTGTTAAATTGGCTAGAGTAAACATCCATTGATTCTTTTGTTCCACTTTTCTCCAAGTTTAGTGATGGATGAGTGACTCCAAGTCACAAGCTTCTGAAGATTTATGGAATATGTAGTTCACTTCACATTCATGTGACCAATCGCTCTGGCTAAACCTCGCGTGTCTATTGCAAATGAAAACATAATTTGTCACGTTATCTTCACAAATAGGTAGAGCACGAGATGGCGGAATATGAGCCTTGATTGTTTGGAGCTCAATCATCAATTAATGTGGAATATATAGCAATGGACTTACACGATCATAATGAGCTCCCGTTAAACCTTCAATGATATTGTCTTCTATATATTTCAAACTTGATGAAATTAGAAAGAGTTGCGAAGTGAGGAAAATCATTGAGTATGTTGCCTTTGCACAATCTTCCTCCTTCTTCATCTTATTTGCCAGCAAGTTCAATTCTACTTCCGTGTTGGTTCTTTGACTCATATCTTCACCATTTCAGATTATGTTAATTGTTGAATCAATAATAGATGTCTGATTAGTCTGTCTGATAGTTTGTCTCCATTTCTCTTCTCAATTGTGACAGTCAGTGTTCCGCATATTCCGAGTTCAAGACACCAAACGGCGAGCGTGCGAGTCTCCGACTATGTTTAGAGCTCCTCGTCTACTGTGCTCTTTAAATATGTTCAGTGCAATAAATTCAAACTGTTACTGTACTTGAATGAGATTTTCTGAATATATCTCACAGCTTCTATTCTCAACAGCTACCTTGTACAGCTCCTGAAGGGTTAATATTATCATTTATATCTACCCAAAACGGGGAAAGATCATAATAAGCAATAAATTTCCATTCCGCTCTTACTAACTTTGTGATTCCAACTCCATTAAAATATATGCCGGGTTTATTCTGAAACTGACACAAGCATAGTAGTGGAAATAGTAATGCCATTATCGATTCTAGAATGCTGCTTAACGTCGTTTACTCCATTTCCTTCTTTTTTGAAGAGTACTTAGGTAGACAAACGTCTCCATAATTCATGCCTAATCTGCAATACAACCTTTCATCTGCTTATCAATGATGTTGATGATTGGTTCGCCGATGGATCAAACTGTGCCGCTAAAGGCTCTCCCACAAGGAAATTACCGGGTATTGATGTTTTTACTTCATTTGGATCGTCAAAAAAAGGAGCCAGCTTTCTGAGATTAAGAATTGTCTCTATTTCGGTAACAATTATTTCCAAATCTTCGTGGGTTAAGGATGTACGAAGCAATAGTTGCTTCGCTGACTTTACCGCAGCTTCCCATAAGCCACCAAAATGTGGATACCTTGGTGGAATAAACTAAAAATCAATATCTTCTCTTGAATTTGATATGCAATGCTGATATTTTCTCCAAATGCAGTTACATTCAATTCATCGAGCTGACGCTCCAATGAATGCGTCCGTTGTCAGGTCAGTAAACACTTCGGCCGACCTTACATGCTTGCGTCCATTCATCCTTTTGGCAAATCGCGGTACATAACCAACAATTCTTTGTAGTAGACTTAATGAACCCTTGAGGTTGATTTCATAGATGATATCCTGTAAGCAATTGCTGGCACTATAGATTTCGCCTTAAATTCAAATTCAGTTCGATTTTCTACATTCTTTGAAAGCGGTTCCAGCCAGAGATATTCATTTTCGTGTAGAAAGTAGGTCAATAAAACCACAAAATACTTCCTGAAGCCGATCCGGTGTCATGCCTCTGGATACGAAATCTTCTGGACTATCCTTTGGCCCTACATGTCGCCATTGATTGCTTAGCGATCCGCCTTGTACATTTTAATCTTGTTGGCAACGAACGTCTTCAGGTTTGAAGGTTCGGTTCAAACACAATGTAATCACTGAAATTGACCAATAAATAGTCCTTAGATCTTCATAACCCAATTCGGCCTTGACTTTAGCATTGGCAAAGTGATTTTCTTTATTGGTGCTATTTTCGATTTTGAACAAAGATTCTTACTAGATGCCCTCCATCTGGTAGCATAGCACGAAGAAACATCACAGCTCCGTATGTCGTTTCTGAGGCGTTCTCAAATGTATGTATGTATGTGTCTGGTTAATTTGAAATCATTTAATATGTTGAGGCTTTATCGGAACGATAACCCATATCCTGCCTTTTCTGCTGGCAGTTCCTTGTCCCGCCCAATTTTATTCTTCAGCCGCTGTTGAATAAAGATCTTCGCTGCTGACACCACAGGACCTCCAATTCTAATGGGTCGAAGAATCTTGCCAATTCAGATGTGACTTCCCGCTTGGTGATTATGGTACATTCATTTACATCACTCTGCAAGCAAAATCGGTCTGCTTGGGGAATCCATGTTAACCCCCAAAACCTTGGTTGATGACTTTTCAAATGTGAGATCTACTTCTCTATCTTCTGGGCAATATACAAATTCTTTTTCATAAAAATTCTTTTGAAGTACCAGCGCGCCCATTTTCAAAAATTGATTGCAGTAACATATGGTATGGAAACTTTTGCACATTTGAACCGTAGGATTCGTTGTACAAGCAATCATCGTGGTGGTCTACTCTTGAAAGCTCTTCAATGATCTGCTATCGCCAAACATGTTGGGCAATTTTAGATCCTTTCAAGTATTGTTAATACATGGGATCTCTTGTTGTTTGTTCTGTCTTGAAGTGTATTAAATGCAATGTCGTGATTTGCCTCAGTCAACTTCTCGGATTCACTAGTGACAAGGCCTGCCGTTGATCATTTTCTCAAATATATTAGCAAACGTTTGCCACTTCGAATAATCCCTATTGAATTGGGGGATTATAATTTTTTTGATTATGTTGAGATTCTTCTTCTTCTCTTAGCGTTTTTTCCATTAATTCTCGAACATGTTGAAGTGGATGTCTTCCACGTTTGACCACAATTTCTCAATTGCAGCCACCTTATTAAGATTTGAATGGACTGTATTAGAGCCTTCTGACGTCTCACTAATGCAACCCCCCCCCCTTTTTTTTGGTCTAAGCGGTTTCTGAGGCATTTGTTATTTGTCGATTATAGCTCTCTAGTACCAATGACTTGGTACTCGTTACTAATGATATGGGGATGTGACTCTGCCGCGCGATCTGTTCGAATGTTGTTTTCATTGCGATCCATATCCGCTTCCATCTCCATTAACTTGTTGCAGTAGAACTCCACCGTTCTTCTTTCCAATGAGCGCCTTTGTTACGTAGGCAATCTTTTTACTCAACTCGGCAATTGCTACTTGTTGTTCAGTAGGTCCATGCTGAATATGTGATATGCTGGTTACCTTCCCTACAACTATTCAGATTGAGTGCTCCAGATGATTGTGGCTCTTGAAATTTGCTGTTT